CTTTTAATTAAACTCTTTACTTCCTTTTTTATTATTATTATTATTAATTTTTTTATAAAGGATGTCTAGTACCAATGCATCGAAATGGATGAATTGTCAATACTTCAAATATTTAATCGTCAATGTGAAACGAGACTCCAACGTGGATCTTTGAAACGAGGCTCAAATGTGAACAAATATTCAATTCGAAAGCAAAGTTTGTTGAATTAATTACAAAGCTTTCCATTCAAAGAAAGCTGGCATGAGATGTTAAGGCATATTATTTGAATAAAAATAAAAAGTAGATTTGTTTAGTTGGCCGAATATTAAAATTGCTTACAAAAAGTATACCAAATTGGATTTAATTAATGTCCGTTGGTTGGGAATATGCCGTTGAATGTGCACAAGCCAACAGCAGCCCTTTTAGACAAGTTAGGCATATACTGTAGCAGATGCATTATAGCAATTCCTTTATTGAAATAAAAAAAATACAATATTGTACGTACCAAAAATGTACATGTCATAATTTGTTTCACCATTTAAAGTTATGAAAATAAAATAAAATTTTATTGTTAGGTGATGTTAGTTGATAGCGAATACAATTGATTTATTGTTCGATGAAATTAAAACGGTGAGGCGAAGCATCACTTTGACAGCTGTGTAAGCTCCTGAAATCCTAAATAACATTTTTCAGAATTTTTGAAAAATATTTAATATAAATTGAATAGGAGCGTTTAATATCTTTTACTAGGAGGTGAATACGGTTCGATTTGAACTGTTTGTAGCAAAATTTTAAAATCAAACAATTTAGAGTGATTTAAAATTTTTTGAAATCAAATTAAACTATTTCAATTTTTAAATCAAATCAATACAAACGACTTTTTCAATTTTGTTCCATTAAAAACTATAGCTTAATAAATAAAAAGAATAATATATCGAATAAGTTATATTATAAATATTGGTCTAAATTTTCATGCCCAAACGAAAAACTAAATTCCGCACTGTTGCTGAGTCGTCGGACTGATCCACCAAGGGATTTTTAGTCCACATTTTTATGTAGGAAATTACTTCATTCTTCCTCCAAGAGAAGTGGAATATCGATTGGTGACAACCTATTGGTGCAATTCATATTTAACGCCTCATTCTTGCAAAGAAAGAACCTAGACTACTACTACTATTACTCTCTCTTTGCTCGCCAGCCTCGTCGATCTTTCACCATCTGCTTTTTCTTTAGTTTAGCCCTTTCATTATACAACAAATTTTTAGGGTAAACTATTGCCTCAATCATATTTGACTGAACAAACTCTTAAATGAATCAGTAATCCTACCATTAGTAGAGAATGCAGACACGGAAACAATTGTGAATATTCGAATAGCTAACACATCTTTAACAATTTGGGAGACAATCTTTTATTTTTTATTTTTTTATGACGGGGAACTCGCAGCAGTTATCTTTCGAGTGCGCACTGGGTAAACTCTCGGACTAATCCAATAGTCTGCAAACCACGCCAGTTAGGTAAACCGTACTAAACAAACCCTGTGCGATAAGCTCGACCAAGAAAGTATTGGTAGGGGAAATCGAACTCATGATCAAAAGCATTTACGCTCACCTACTCCACCAACTTGATCACCCCATGAGGGGCAATTTGGGAGACAATCTTGTATTTATTTGCATTCAACTTCTACCAAAGTAATATGTCAAAAAGTGCATTGGTCAAATTTTCAAAACAACCATTTAAATAATCTACCAAATCATTTTGATAACGAACAGTAAAATCTAGAAAACTAAGTTAAAATGTAAATAATTAATTGAGTACATACTAGGAAATTGAGATACAAATAAAAAAAAAAGTTGTTGTCCGGTAAAAATTTAAGCGAGTTCGACACATATTAGAACAAAACAACATAACTATCAATAAAATAAAGCAAAGAACTAACAATAATATGGATGTATCTTTTTTATTGGGATGAATTTATTTTTCATTGGGTTAGACAAAATTGAAATTAATTTATTTTCATTTTTTTGGTGAACAGTTTGAAACAATTTGTAAAATTTGAAATCTAAACTAAACTATTTCAAACGCCCTGAATCAATTCAAAATCAAAATATTGACAAATCCACGCTAACCCAAATCAATGGTTTTAAAAACGGAGTTTCAATTTGGTTTGACGATTTTGTTGACCGATCCTACCTTATACAATATAAAAGTAATTAATGCATTTTCCCATTATCCAATGCATTTTAAAACTTCTACAATAATATTAGGTGGCATTAGACTCTACTAATATATTTTCGATGAATGAAAATGGTGAATTCAACGACCATTTAGACTGATGCTAAGCTCTTGTAATCCCACATAGAATTCTTTGTACTTATCACAGCGTATTTAATACGAAAAATTGAATTTGAGTGCCTAATATCTTTCACCATATAACACATTATCCCAATATTTAATGCACTCCAAAACTTAAAATGATAATGTTAGGTGGTAATAAACCTCATTGATAATCGTTCAATTAATAAAAAGGGAAGGGTCATTCGTAATTAGATTAATGCTAAGCTCTCGTAATCCTACAGTGCATTCTTCAAACTTAATATGATATCTTTAATACGTAAAATTGAACTAGAGAGCCTAATATCTTTCACCATATAAAAGTAATAAATTTTCAACACATTATCTCGATACTAAGTGCAATCCAAAATTTATCTAATAATGTTAGTTGATATTGGATCCTTCTAATTTATTGTTCGACGAATTAAATAGTGGGCCAACTGTCATTTAGACTAGTGCTAAACTCCTGTAATTCTACATAGCTATTTTCAAATTTTTTGTGATATTTTTAATACTTAATATTGGATTGGGCATTTTATGAATATTTAGTGCATGAAATTGAACCTGTTTGCCTAATATCTTTCACCATATAAAAGTAATGAAAATCAAATAAAAATTTAATCAGTATCTTGACATTCGATACATTTCAAACTTATCTAGTAATGTTAGGTGTTAGTAGACTTTGTTGACTTATTGTTTGTTGAATCAAAATGAATAAAGCCACTTGTTCAGAGTTAAAAACAGGAGAATAAATAGACAGACTGATGTGTGAGAAAATGATTGAATATTTTTGTTTTAATTTTGCAAACTGTCCAATCATGTGTTGACAGGTGTTCCATCTGAATTTGAGGTTGAATGTATAGCAAGATTGAATTAAAATAGTGAGGTCAATCACCATTTAGACGGGGTGTTAAGCTCTTGTAATCCTACATACAATTCTTAAAACTTATCACGATATATTGATACATAAAATTCAACAAGAGTGATTAATATATTTCACCATATAAAAGTTGAAAAATAAAATAAAACTTTCAAGACATTCAATGCACTCCAAAACTCATCCAATAATATTAGGTGACATTGGATCCTACTAATTCGCTATTCATAAATCAAAAAAGTAAGATCAATAATCTAAATTGCTGCTAAACTCTAGTAATCTTACACAGCATTCTTCATACTTATACTTAATACACAACTAGAGTACCTCATATTTTTCACCATATAAAAACAAATAAAAATAAAAATTTAATGCATTATCTCCACATTTAATACACACTAAAACTTGTACAACAATATTAGGTATCAATCTCAACCTAAAATGGTACTAAATACTAGTAATCCTACATAGCATTCTTTTGACTAATCGTGATATATTTAATATGTAAAATAGAATCGAAGTTCCTAATATCTTTCACCATGTACAAGTAGTAAAAATCAAATAAAATTCTAATGCATTATCTCGATCACTCTAAAACTTATTCAGTAATATTAGGTGACAAAGATTCTTATCAATTCATTGTTCAACTAATCAGAATAGCGAGGTCAACTATCACCTAAATTAGTGCTGAAATCCAATAATCCTACGAAGCTTTCGTCGTATTTATTAAATAATGCTTGTTTAATAAAACTTTGTTAAAAGATCTGGTCAAACATTAATTTTAGCAACATATTTAATCAGGCCTATAATTTTTGTCAATTTTTCAACAATACTTTTTATAATATTTTAAAAAAAAAATAATTTTTTTTAATCAAAAGTTTTTTCAAATAACCCCTTCAACATTACGATTTTGTTCGATAGTGATTGTGAAAATTGATTTTTTGACCGTTAGAAGGAAAAATGAGGCTCGCCTATAAGTGAAGAATTTAAAAACGACTGCTGAAATTGTGAAAATAAGATTCAAAAAATTAATTTTTTGAAATGAAAAATTGCTATCAAATGGGGCTAAAATTATCATTAAATGTTAATTTTGCCCAAACAAAGTTTTTGTTTCCACGGTCCAAACCATAAGTAATTAGGTAAAGGCGGCCGAGAATAAAGAGAAAAACATGCACAATTCCCTTTGAATGCATCCAAATTCCAACCTTATCCCATTCCGTTACACATTTTTGAAATATTTACATTTACAATTATACCCCCCGCCCATTCTGCAATAAATTTCCCTCTAGAATCCTCTACCGACTTGTGTCCTTGTCAATAAAAGGTGAAGGTCAAAGGTGACATTTCATATTCGGTCTAGTTGGTTCAATTCAACTAGACGTTACATGAATTCGCCCACCGCTCCACCAAACTCCGGATAAGCGCATTCATTCCGCATCGTGCCACGTAGACTGATGGTGTCATGAATGACGTAGGGCAGCGTCTACAAATTGTGGCTGGCCCTACTAAGTTAATATTCCTGTTATAATATGCTGTTTCGCGCGCAGGAGAATTAGCCAATCGGAATAATCGGCACGTGGTAAAATTACCAAAAAATTGTGGGGATGCCCGCGGTTATCTGATCGGACGGCTAGAGAGAAGAAACGTAGATAACAAGTGAAGAAGACACGTCTGTGATTCTGTAAATAGCGCGTGACAGATAAACACAAGTGTGCCAGCTGGCGCCACTAGGTTTCTGCTGACCGACCTTATCCTATTGTATTTTTTAATTTCTTTAATTTCTCTTTTTTAATTCTTTCCGGTTAAATTTGTGTTCTTGTCTAGCCAAAAGCATTTGAAAGAGAGAGAATTGAGAGAACGAGAGAGAGGCTGAACCCTAAATTTCTCTCTGACTGAAAGCAGAGTTTTTGGATTTTGATTATCAAGATCCTAAGAAAAGATATACAAGAATTCAATCCTTCAATACAAAGGTTAGTTTTTTTTTTTTTTCGTTTTTTTTTGCCATGTTAAATTTTACGAAAAGTTGATCTCTTGTGTCCAATCTGGTTAAATACTACATGCAAGTGAAGTTTTGCAATATAGGAATAATGTTGCTGCAAGTTTTTTGCGAACGATTGGTTTCTTTTACTGCATTCATTCAGTGGGTTTCTGTTTTATTATATTGATCTAATGTTTTGATATGTTTTTTTTTTTTTTTTATCTGTTAACCGATATGATTTTGATTTTTGATTTTTTTTTTGGATGAAACGACATTTCAGATCTCTCTTAAAGTTGCTTGCTTGCACTCTAGAAAAGCAATCTTGGGTCATTTCGGGAAATTAGGAGAATGATTGGAAATAATCTCGGGGATTGAGTCTTGTTTGATTATAATCTAAGAGCTATATTTTGACTGGTTGGTTGTTTTATGATTTGTAGGTTTTGTTGACGAGTTCTGCTTGAATAAATCTTGCGAAGATGATGTCTAGGTCGTATACCAATTTATTGGATCTAGCCTCTGGGAATTTCCCAGTGATGGGGCACGAAAGGAGGCGCCTTCCTCGTGTAATGACTGTTCCAGGGGTCATTTCTGAGCTTGATGATGATCGAGCTAATAGTGTTTCATCGGAGGCTCCATCGTCTGTTGTTGCCGATCGAGTAATTATTGTTGCAAATCAGCTTCCAGTGAAAGCTAAGCGTAGGCCAGATAACAAAGGGTGGAGTTTTAGCTGGGACGAGGATTCATTGTTGTTGCACATTAAAGATGGTTTCCCTGACGATATGGAGGTTATTTATGTGGGGTCACTGAGGGTTGAGGTTGATTCAAGTGAACAAGACGATGTTGCGCAGTTACTGTTGGACAGGTTTAAATGTGTTCCGGCTTTTCTCCCACCAGACATTCTGTCCAAGTATTATCATGGGTTTTGCAAGCAGCATTTGTGGCCACTATTCCATTATATGCTTCCGTATTCAGCAAGCCATGGAGGTCGCTATGATCGGTCATGGTGGGAAGCATATGTTGCTGCAAATAATATTTTCTCACAGAAGGTGATTGAAGTAATAAATCCAGATGACGATTATGTATGGATTCACGATTATCATTTAATGGTTTTGCCTACCTTCTTGAGGAGGCGCTTCAACCGGTTAAGAATGGGATTTTTCCTTCACAGTCCTTTTCCTTCATCGGAGATATACAGGACTCTACCAGTGAGACAAGAGATTCTGAAGGCATTACTGAATTCTGACCTAATTGGTTTCCACACTTTTGATTATGCAAGGCATTTCCTCTCTTGTTGTAGCCGTATTCTGGGTTTAGAGTATCAGTCGAAGAGGGGTTATATTGGGGTAGAATACCATGGGAGGACAGTTGGAATAAAAATCATGCCTGTTGGAATTCACATGGGACAGATTGAATCTGTGCTTAAGCATGCTGATAAAGACTGGATAGTTGGAGAGCTGCAGCAACAGTTTGAAGGAAAAACAGTGCTACTTGGTGTTGATGACACAGATATATTCAAAGGTGTGGATTTAAAACTTTTGGCAATGGAACAAATGTTGAAGCAGCATCCAAAGTGGCAAGGAAGGGCAGTGTTAGTACAAATTGCAAATCCAGCCCGAGGAAAGGGAAAGGATCTTGAAGAGATACAAGCAGAAATAGAAGCAAGCTGCAACAGGATCAACGAGACCTTTAGGCAGCCTGGTTACGAACCCATTGTTTTTATCAATAGACCAGTGTCTCTTAGCGAACGTGCTGCATATTACACTATTGCAGAATGTGTTGTCGTTACGGCTGTAAGGGATGGAATGAACCTTACGCCGTATGAATACATTGTGAGCAGGCAGGGAATCCCTGGAAGTGAATCTAGTTCAGATTCAAATGCTCCAAAGAAGAGCATGCTTGTTGTATCTGAGTTTATTGGCTGCTCCCCTTCACTTAGTGGAGCTATCCGAGTCAACCCGTGGAACATTGAAACAACTGCAGAAGCATTGAATGAGGCAATTTCAATGGCTGATACTGAGAAGCAGTTGCGACATGAGAAGCACTACAAGTATGTTAGCACGCATGATGTAGCATATTGGGCTAGAAGCTTCTTCCAGGATTTAGAGAGAACTTGCAAAGACCATTTTAGGCGACGCTGCTGGGGAATTGGTTTGGGTTTTGGTTTTAGGGTTGTTGCTCTTGATCCTAATTTCAGAAAGCTGTCCATTGATGCCATCGTCTCTGCTTATTCAAAGGCCAAAAATCGGGCAATACTTTTAGATTATGATGGTACTGTCATGCCTCAAGCATCCATAAATAAGGTTCCTAGCGGGGAAGTGATCTCAATTATCAATAGACTTTGTGATGATGTAAAAAACACAGTATTTGTTGTCAGTGGACGAGGAAAGGATAGTTTAGGCAACTGGTTTTCTCCATGTAAGAAACTGGGTATTGCTGCCGAACATGGATACTTTCTAAGGTGTGCCTTCTTCTCTTTACTTACATGTTTTTTCGTGTTTCTGCATGTATGCTATTACATACTTATTTTACATATAGTTTTCTGCTTGTCTGCTATTATATACCTGTTTCCCATGTCGCTTTTTGCTAATTACCTAAGATTTTAGGCGGAATGCGGATGAGAAATGGGAAACTTGTGGACAGAGCACTGATTTTGGATGGATGCACATGGCAGAGCCTGTAATGAAATTATATACAGAAGCTACTGATGGTTCCTATATTGAAGTAAAAGAGAGTGCACTTGTTTGGCATCATCAAGATGCGGATTCTGGTTTTGGATCCAGTCAAGCAAAGGAAATGTTAGACCACCTGGAAAGCGTGCTAGCTAATGAACCTGTTACTGCTAAAAGTGGTCAATTCATTGTTGAAGTGAAACCCCAGGTATGTAATCTTTTAACACGTCAATTTTCTTGATTCTTTCTTGTACGAGACTGTTATAGATATCTTTCTTTTCTATGTTACACTGCAGATAAAAACATGTGAATATTAACTGGCCTTGCTTCAAGCAAAATATTAAAGTTGTACTTGTCATTTTCCATTGTTATATAAATTAGAACCACCTCTTTTGTTGCTTTGTGTGTCTGCCTTTCGAATTTTCCTGGTATGCTGATGATTGAATAACAAAATTGAGCTGCATTATTGGAAGTGTAATTACGTGGTCTCTTTTATGTAATACTTTCGACGCATTCTCTATTTTAAAATTGGAATAAAGCAGGAAAATATTGGAGTTTCCTGCAAAAGTGACTCCCAGTCTTCAGGAATTGCCTCAAAAACTGATACCTTTCAGGAACAAATTTACCAATGTGTTATTCGTGGTACCTTTTCCATTTGTACGTAGTTGTTGGTCTTATCGCATTAGCTTTGAAAATGATGTGATAATATTATCTCGATGGTGCGTGATGGTAATGGGTCTGAAATGCTCTTCAGATGACTCACACTTTTGAGAGGGATTATCTTGCAATGAACCACATTAGGGATTGTGTTCATTAGAACAATGCAACGATTTTGACACCTATCACTTATATGTTAATGATGGAAAAGACACAGGAGGTTGAAATATCTAGGATAATGTCTAACGTGTCTTCTCTCTAAAACTAACAAAATTTGATTGTGAAGAAAAATTTATTATATCCTAAGTTTCTAATGATACTTGCAGTGTTTAATTTACTGGATAAAATTGAAAGTGTTTCTTTCTATTGTTTATATCTTATTGAATAGTAGTTAATTGAAAAACCAAATTTACAACGACAGAAATTGTCTACCTGGTGTAATCTTTTACCGACCGTCTTGCATTGTCCTACATCTTCATATGCAAAATTCTATCCTATTAAGATTGGTTTTTCACTCGAGGGTTCAATCACTTGAGCTACCAGTTTAGTTTTATAAAGATGAATAGTTCTTGTCCTTGTTTTTATTCTCTTCATTAAGCTGTACTTTTCAATTTTTTTCTCCTCCTTTTTTTTTTTTTTTTTTTTTTTGGGTGTTGTCCAAATATTTCAGGTTCATTAAAAGCAGGGGATACCACCTCTCTGAAGAGTAATACCTAATAAGGACTGAAATGTGGCATTCTTTTCACCTAAAAAGATTATTGGTGTCATCGATTTAGAAGTCCTAAGTCATAAAATTTACAGTTCTTTTTCTGATTTAAGGTCAACGCATCTTCAACTAATTTGTCTCAACTATTTCAGGGCGTTAGTAAAGGTCTAGTTGCAGAGAAGATCTTTACGTCGATGGCTGAAAATGGGCGGCAGGCAGATTTTGTCCTTTGCATCGGTGACGATCGATCTGACGAGGATATGTTTGAAAAGATTGAAGATGCAATAGACAGTGGTTTCCTTTCTTTCAATAGTTCCGTTTTTGCCTGCACTGTTGGGCAGAAACCGAGTAAGGCAAAGTACTATGTGGACGACACGACGGAGGTCATAAACCTGCTTCAATTTCTTGCCGAAGCCTCCGACCCTTCACCTGCAGAGGATGCTTCAGAAATCCCCAATTAGGATTGATTCAGGGATGTCTTCTTCTCCATACACTTCAGGTCTCTTCAAGATCCATTTGTTTTTATTTTGAAGTGGGGAGACAATGGGAGCCATATTGTCCCGCTTTCTGTGTGACAAGCTATTTGAACTAGAGGGAGTTGGGATTTAGTGCAACTGATGGTGGGAACTTATGGCAAGTGGCTTCAAGTCGACTCCGCTTTTTCCTTTGGTAAGTGGACGTGTAGCTGCAATTTCTGGATTCACTCGGTTGACATGGTTTATGGCGATGCATCATTGGAGGTCTTTTTGGCTTCCTATTGGGATTCCTACTTTTATTGGGTTCACCATTTTTATGAAGCTTGAAGCTGCAATTATGGCTGCAACGTGAAGATTAAGAGTGCGCCTGAAGGTTATTTCTTTAGTCTCTTTCGACTATTGTACAGAGTAATATTTACCTGTTTCGTTCTCTTTATTTCTTTTTTGTTTTTTTCCATTTTTTGGAGGTTAAAAGACTTGTCTACCTTTTGCTGCACCAATTTGTTGGATAATTATTGTAGTAATTGTAAATATTTATAGAAGCAAACCTTTTTTTCTACATTTTTCCCCGCTGATTTCTGTATTAGAATGTCCACACGAGGTTCAGATAGGAAATTAGGAAATTAGGAAAATTTCCGAGAATAAAATTATGTAGTTAAAGAGAAGTATGTGTTGCTACTAAACTATTTCTTTTTACGATGAGAAGAAGTTTGGTAGAGCTGCGACATGCAATCTAACATGGCTCGGGTTTGACCTTCAAATTCTTAACAAGACTCAGGTTATCGAGTTCAGGAGCTACTGAAGTCAGCCATGGCACGTCAGCTCATGCCCTCGATGTGGAGGGCCAAACCGAGAGGTTAAAGTTCACTCTTTAGGCAGAAGAGGTTGTAAGTGTGCGCAGCAATGGAAGTTGGTAGATGTTAAGCTTGTTATATGTGGGTTATGGAGGTGCCTAAATTAGCATTAGCCAGCTTCACAGGGGCAAGGACCATGACACAAGGGTTTTTCCAAGACTGTGCACTTACAGCCCTCTCATGAGGGGCTCTCTTATGTGAGGGGGCTGTCATGCTTGGTGTATAGTCACAACACAAACGAGTCATCATTTGTAATATACTCTTTAGGGGGCTGTCAAGTCGAATAAAATATATGTTAATGATTTTTAACTCTCCGTACTGGATTCAGATTTTGAATCATATACTGTTATATCTATAAACTATGTATGTGCGTTATGGTGGGGTTCCGTTTTAGTTGAATGGATAACAATGATGTCAATTGGATTGGATAAAAGCAATCTCTTCTCAGGCTTGAATTCAATAACCAAGACCTATTTTGCTTCCTTTATATGAGGTGAAGTGATATGTACTCTAAATCATAGCCAAATCATCTTCACCCCTATCCCTTGCACTCTTTCCATCTCGTATCGACAGGAGACTTGATTATCAGAGATCACGATTGTCTAGACTTTCTTGAGTTGGTGACATTTGTACTAATGGTGTTTTTCGACGTGCAGATGATTACTAGTGGACAAATTTTCATATCTAGTAGAAAATAGTTGCAAGAAACAAAAAGTTCTTCACTGGAGAAGTAGTAGAAACGACAATCATATTTACTCTACATACACTATAATTATATATATATAATAATAAAGGATTTCATAGAACTTGCAGGCCTTGATCTGTATTTCTTTCTTGGGATAACTTTCAACAAAAAAAACGAAGAGTTCCAGAATTTATCGAATATAATTTTCTCCACAATGGGTCCTCAGTTCTCATCTTTTTGAGCAAGAAACAAAAAATGGCCCCACAATCTACCGCTTATTTTGCCTTTTCTCCCTCTTCAGCCTTCTCTGTGTGAAAGTTCAGCTCATGTCCTGCCTCAATTCCTGACCATGTGGGTCCAAATGCTTCTTGATGGTACTGCCGTTCTTGCACTTGTGTCGTATTGAATACGACAAGTGCATTTTTGGTATTATTATTGGACTATCTTACCTGCCGATTCTATCCAAATACGATTGCCCCCTCAGCTTAGTTGTCGTCCAGTAGATTTTCGATAGTGAAGGATTTAGGAATTCAATAAGCACAGATGAATTCAGATGAGCACGAACGGTTGCTAAACGCTCGTCGAGCGACCGCCCTATATATGGAAAAGAAAAAAAAATCTGATGGAATCATCACAGGTGATCGCAGGGGCTTGTCGAGTGCTGACTCCATCGCTATCCCTGTATATCACATTTTCTTAACAGATGAAAAGAAGTCAAGATCAATTTCGCACATTGTAACTTGGAATATTTTAGAAGTGATGTGCATAGATATCAAAAATGCATTGGACGATAGCCCAGGAACACATGCATTCGAGACACCGGATCTCAACTTTAATAACATAGCGGGATACTTGTATATGTAGATGTTTTTGTGCATAATACAACAAGAGAGAGTGGTTTCCATGCGCTGCCATCGCTTCTTTCTGTTTACCGCCGTTTATATGACAATGTAACTGGGTATTAATATATGCCTTTTAACAAATGTTGTTTCGCCATCTTAGCACCACATCCAGAGTTGTGTCAAATTCTGCAAAGAACTACTGACACTAACTTCTGGGTGGAGTTTTGGTCGAAGATAAGTATACCTGGCTCTGCACCACCGTCTGGCCAACCTTGAATCCCGGAACCACCGTGAATGCCACCCAAAAATCACGCTGTGCCGCCACGAAAATGTCGTCCGTTATGCTTTCCATGTACACTTCGGAAAATCTGGAACTTCTTTTCACTTGAAATATGCTCACTTCTTGATCAAGTGAGAATGCCAAAAAATGTAAAAGCCAAACTCTCCTTCCCATCTCTGCGTAGGCCTTGAAGAATTCAGTTTCTGGGTACTCACCGGAATTAACCATTTTCCTTTGATTCAAATTCCCAGCGAATGAAAATTCCATTTTGGGATGTACTAAATGAAGGTACTTTGCTTTCAAGAATTTCCCAAACAAAGAATTTGGATTCTGCCCGAGAAACTGGATTACACTCACTGATCTCAATTTCTTGAACTGTTCAAAGAAGAAAATTCGAAGCTGATCAGTGTCATTAGGCAACGACTGATGATCATTTTGTATGGAAAAAAATGGTTCATTGAAGCCACTGAAAATTTCTCTGCAAACAAAGGATTCAAATGCAAAACCCTTATGATCCCTCTTGCTGAAAGTGATTTCGGGCTGTATTGCATTGGCTGCAGCATCAGTATCCCAATTTGCAGAGACCATATTCCTAATCATCAACTTGACGAAATTGCGTATGGATCTCAATGCATAGTGAAAAACCATGATAAAAACTCTAGGATTTGAATCAGAGAATTTGATATTGTCAAGAATCGAAAAAGATCCACTTGCATTGAGTTTTATCTCGAGGGATTTATTGTTCTGAACAATTTCCTGCAACTGATCTTGTAGTAATGAAATTTGGGAGTCTTTTCTTTCCATCTCCCCCTGCATTTTTTTCATGGTGATCTCGTAAGTCTTCATTAGAGACTGCTGTTCTTGAATTTCTGCTAGCATTAATGTCACATGGGGCGGCGAAGAATCGATCTGTTTCTTCAAGAATCTGTGCTTCAGCTCTGAAAGTGCTTTTAATTCATCAACCACAGCTTGATCTGCAGATTGTACAGCCTCATTGTTGTACGGAAACTGAGCCATTTGTAGCTCTGCATAAGCTGCTTTAACTGCAGAAATGGTGGCAAAAAGCTTTGCGACGAAGGCTTCAACTGCGGCTCGGTTCTTTGATTCTTTTGCTTCTTCTTCGAGATTTTCTTTCTCGAACTGTTGGGATTCACAGCATTTGAGTTTTTCTTGAGGAATGAAGAGGCAAAATCCAGGGTTTGAGAGATTTTTTTTGGCTGATTTTAAGTGAATAACTTTCTGAAATGTCTTGGCAATTTTGCTTTTTGATGGAGCTGGACATGGAATGGTAGGATCCATTTCAACTCAACAATTTTTTGTTGATCAGAGCATGAAATCAATATTAGAAGAAGAAAATGGCTATGCCGCTATGGTGGAATTGATGGGAGTAAAGTAAGATCTAAAGCGCGGGAAAAGAAAAGCAAAGTTCCTTCACCCACACAAATTACTAATATAGATATGATTAATTCGCGATGGACAAAATACTCCCGACTCCTTTTCACTGAAGAATTCTTGATCACGATCACATTGATTTAGGATCTTTATTTATTTATTTATTTTTAAATCATATTTAAAAAATAAAGTAAGTATTTGAACGATAAACAAAGATATTATGATTCCCCTTCTCATTTGCTAGGGATTTGAATGGAAATTATTTGATAAAATTAAGAAATAAATATGTAAATAATTAAGCATGAATTAGTAAAAAATCAATAAATCAGCCCAAATCTCATCTTTATTCTTTCTTTCTCTTTTATATTGTTTATTTATTTATTTTAATTCGTCGCCGGTGATGTATATTTTTTCAATTTGAAATCTTTATTAGATTGCTTAAAATTAATGGGTGGGATCCACTTTATAAAGCCAAAAAAGTTCCAAAAGAAATAGTAAAAAAAATTTTAAAAAATAAAAAAATCTATTGACTCTGAATAATTAAGGTACATAGTGCATGGCATAGGACGAGGAATCCAAGGCTATATACACCGGTGGTGACAACTATAATTGATTTATAAATGAAAAGGGCAAAAAAAAAAAAAAAAAAACGCAAATAAAATAATGCCGGTCTTAAACTATAATCCAGTTGAATTATAGATAAAATAATAAAGTTATACTTTCGCTCATTTAGCAAGTGAAAATGGATAAAATTGAACATGAAAACATGATAATGCTATAAGTACAGATTTTTTCTACAAAATTTGTACAGGATGACAGCTGTCTTCTTCTCTTCAGGAAGACAGCTGTCATCCTACACAAATTATGTTAAAAAAAAAAATCTATACTTGTAAATTTAATCTCGTGTGTTTCTTCTCTTATATTATTGTAGATGAAGACAGCAGTCATCTTGTACAAATTCTGTTTACAAAATTTCTATACTTGTAACTTAATTGTAAATTTGATTTTGTGTGTTTTTTCTCTTATATTTATTTACAACTAGGCTAGGATGGTTAAACTAGGGTAAAATGATTTTGAATATCGAAGAGTCTCAATTAAGATTCTATTCACTTATAATTTAATTAATTAAGTTGATTTTCAATTATGAAAAGATAATCCTAGAAACATAAATAATTGCAAATTATTGTCATGCGTATTGAAGGGCAAGCCATGTTAATGGAACGAACATCATTACGAGACAACCAGTGCTATACAAAGGTTTTCAATTAATTAATTAAAAGTCTATTGGCCAAAAGTGGTTGGCTCTCAATTTTTTTTTTTGGCATGGCCAATGATCCTATCAATTCACATCATTGTTTTATTTATTTATTTATTGTATGTCGACATTTTGAAAAATCTTGACATGTTCAACAGTGTAATAAGATGAAATATCAGTCGAAGGGTTGAAATTTTTGTTAAAACTTTATCCATTTCTTAAACATTATTGAGTTGGGAAAGACAAATCAATTTTTGTTCAATTTAAATTTTGAGTCCTAGAAGTAACATATTTATCAAATAAAAGGTTGATACAAGTTTTTGTTTGTTATATTCTTACTAATAACATAATAATCAATGGTCCTCACTACGCGCTCGTCGAGCCAGTCCATCGGTGGCGAAGCTGCGAGTTCATGAACAAGTGAATGAACGAGCCATCTTCCTAAAAGGAGTGAGAAGGTTCTCACCCGCAACAAGAAATGACTTATAAGGACTAGGGGCACTCTAATGCCTTAAGTTTGAACGTAGAAATGTTATACCTTTCCTAGAAGAAAGAAACAATAACCTTATTAGTCAACTCGATAGGCTAATTTCATATTGATTTTTGAATCCAAGTTTTGCATATTGAAGGGATAATATCTTTCTTTCTTTTTTTTCTTTTTTTTTTTCCTCCAATGGAAGCAAAAGTCTTATGATTTATTACTTGTTATCGTGTGATTAAAGTGTAGTGGCAACATTTGCAATGATTTTAACATAAATTTGGTACGCATATTGATTGTACGCCAAGAAATTCTTGGAATTGACATTCAAAAATCAGCTCAAGTAGTGGTATGCTATCTCGACATATACCTACCCAAATGAAGTACTGATGTAGCATTATTCTTGTTAGGTTTATATCCAGAATTTTTCTATGTACACTTCTCTCACGATAATAATAATAATAAATAAATAAATAATCCCTTAGGATATTCTTCATGCGAAGAATCATCTTCAGACCCAAATAGGATATAACTTCCCCCCCCCCCCTTCAATTTAACATCACCATGTGAGCAACACAGTTTTATTTCACGTACATGTTACCGAATGTAATTTTTCGCGCAATAGCTTATTGAGCTCCTAGTTGGATTCCATTAAAATTAGTTTTCGATATAAACGTATTTTAGAATGGTAATTTTTTGAAAAAAAGTGTGATTAAAAAATAAGAAAAAAGTTTTAGATTTATTATTTTATTGAAAATTGTGTTCTTGAACAGAAGAAAAAGAAAAATGCATTAAAATTTAAATGGAGCCCAAACAGGGGTGAGATTTTGAGGAAAATTTCGTTTTGAAATAGTGATTTTTCTTTACCCCTTTTAAGAACGTGTGGCTAAACAATGAGAAAAACTATTTTGAATTTACATATTATAACATTATTTTATAAGATAATGTGTGGTTGAAGATGAATTTTGAAAAAATATATATTTATTATTGAAAAAATTGAACCTAAACAGGTGCTGAATTAGTCACCACACAAATAAAAATGCATGCCACAAAAGGGAGGGTCAAAGTTCGTAGGGAAAATACCCAAAACCCTAGATATAAATATTACCATTCTTATCAGGTGAATTAGTTATAATTTAATTTATCAAGTATTAGTTATGCCTCCGTTTAACCCCCATTTTTTTGAAATGAAAATGGGTGGAATAGTTTTTTTTTTTTTTTTTTTTTGAAAAATAAATGGTTGAGAAAGAGGAAAAATTTTCGATTTACGTGTAATATTATTTTATGAAAGATTTTGTGGTAGAAAATAAAATAGAAAAAATTGAATGTAATTTAATGAGTACCAAACGAGAACTTAATATCAAAATCTCAAAACATGAGATTTAGCGTTATCCTAGCATCTATATAATTAGTCAAGCATCATATTAATTATAAGAACACTATAGAATTGGTACAAAATCACCCAGAATTAAAATTTTAAAAGAAGGTTGAAAAGAACTCTTCGAAGTTTCGAATCTCTTTTAATTGCTTTTTGATCAATCTCTTTTAATTTTTCTTCTTCTTCAACCCAAGCAGTAGATATATGAAATTGATATAAATAAATGGTTGAAAAAAAATTATATTTTCAATTTACGTTTAATATTATTTTATGGAAGATTGTATAATTGAAAATAAGAGAAAGAAAGATGTAATATAATTTAACGAGTACCAGACGAGGGCTATATATATACTTTCTCTCTCTACCCCACCTTGACCAATGTCAACAATGACCACCACAAAAATTAGATATGAAACACTCCATCGAACTAGATCTCACTTGCCTTTCTTCGATGTAGTCGAGGAATAAAATCTGCATGGTGCATTGCAGGTGGTGGCAGTTGTGATGTAGTACAGGTAGTGGTGATTGTAGTACATTTGAGTTGGAGACTGTGGGAGTTTCTTGTTCAATTTTTTGATTGGCTTGCTATTTTGGGTTGTAGTGTTGGTCTGCGGAGTGTGCAAATTTATTTGTAGTGACCCTCTTTCATCCAATCTATATTAATAGTGATTGGTGATGATCAAGTCTGTATTAATTGTGATCGGCTATAACTATATGTGTTGTGATACTGGTCTAAAGTGTGTGAGGATTTATTTGTAGTGCCTACAGATTTCGATGAGTTGAAACTCAAAGCTCGAGCTAGGCTCGAGTAAAAATGGTTTAGGCTTTTTTGGGCCCGAGCCGACTCGAACTTTGTTCGGCAAAAAAATCTAGACTTAACTCGAGATTTCGACTTGGGCCTTATCAAATCGAGCCGAACCGGCTTATGATTTTATTTAAAATTAAATTTTTAAAAAAAGGTAGCCACACAGCTATTGCTGCCTGCTACAGACAACAAGACGGCTATGTGTAGTTGCCATTTATTTTATTTGTTTTTTTTTTAATATAAATTTGCTCACAGGCCGACTCTCCAAAATGGGGCTCGACACTAGCCTCGGCTCGATTGACCAAGTCTGAGTTAATTGTAATCAATATGTGACCTCAGCACTCAAAATATTGCTACTACCTCCACCACACAGGTCAAGTCTAATGCTCTAACATCACCTGCAATGTATCGCCATCACCAACATACCATCACCTCTTCATAAGGAATCTCAATATGGTTGTTTTCATTTTGTGATTGTATGTATATATAGAGATTAGAGAGAATTTGTATTTATAGAAAAAGAACATTTGCAAATGGAGAGAGAAAATATTGCTGGCAGAAAACATTTTTGCCATTGGTGTTTGGGCGTGTGGTGGTGGGTTAGGAGAGAAAATAATGCGGCATTGGAGATATTAATATATTGGAATGAAGCTTGCTCCAGATCCCCAGGCCTAAAAACAGGGCACCCACCTCAGCCACCCGTTTTTGGGCTCTTTTTTGGCCTGGATGAGGAGCATTTTTGTATCAGAATTATGTCATTTTCCCACGCTCATATTGCACACAATCAAGAGTTGAACCAGACCTTCCCCCAGGCCCATGACGTTTTTAAGGTAAAAATGAAATTGATGAGGAATTATTTTTTTTCCCCCTATCTATTAGATCAGTATTAAAAAAAATATATATATATATATATATATATATATATATATCACCATAGGGGTGAAAATGGGACTAGTTGCTTGTAAGCTTGGTTCAACTCGCCCTGGAGGTGAGTCATGGGGCGAACAGAGCCACCATTTTGCAGTGTCAGCCGCTCATTGGGAATAGGGATATCTCAAAAATTAATTTTTTCAGTATTGAATTATCTACAGTGTCTGCTATACCACTCCCTATGCAATTGATTTTGCGATTGTTACTTTGTAATTGTTTCTTCAAATTCTCACTTCTCTTCTACTGGTTATCACTTTCTGACTTCTATCTTCTAAAA